CTTGTACAGAAATCTATCCAGATAATTTAATTGAGGGAGCAATTATCGTCCTTCTTAAAATGACCACATCACATTAATGGCTAGAAAAAGGAATCATTAGCCTAAAGGAATTATTTTGTGTGTTGCTGAACATTGTGACAACAAATGCGCCAATTATTTTGTTTACTCAGAAACCACGTACTAAACATCGAGCAAGACGTTAATTTCTGAAGTGTTTTGGAATTTAATTTACAGAAGAATGTAAAGAATATAGAAACCTGCAAGCAAAATTTTTAGGAAATTTTTTAAAAAATTAAGATCTTGAGGTAAAATTGCGTTTCATTCGCGTTAAGACAAACGAGTGTATAAACAATGTACTGATACCCTAATAAAAAGAACAGAAAGACTAAATTTACGTGTGTAAAGCATAATAAAAATTGTATTTCCTACTTTTCTTCCTTTGTCGCCTTTGTATGCAAATTTTACGGTGAAAACAAACAGAATGTAAGCAATCTTGGGTATGAGATACCGTACGCGTGGAATTTCCGCTCGTTTTTTTCGAGCGAGGAATGCCGAGTTAAAGTAAACGGAAAACGACACTTAGTTTTATGTATATTGCTAATTTTATTTCCAATTTGCCTTTACACTTCAAAAAGAAAAATGATGAACAGAGGGAAGTTAGTAATTCATAGAAGATAAAATAAAATTTCGAAGGAATATTTTTGATTATTTTACATTTTATATAGTAAAGACCAAAACTATTTTTAAGAACCACGATCCACTTGAATTTTTATTTTTCCTCCATTCAAATTGAAATACCATTTTTAAAAAGCAAAATATATGCATAATCCTCTTATATAAAAGAAATACAATTGCCGAATATAGTAGATTAAATTTAAGTTGTAATAAACTTTGAATATCGAGAAAAATCATTAATTCGCTAAAAATTTCCATTTTTATTAACATTAATTTATGCATCAACTAAATAGAACGGAAACTGAAGCCCTCCTACCCCAAAAAGCATGTATATAGCTTAAAAATATTTAAATAAAATAGAAATTTAAACTTCAAAGAAAATGATACAGGGATAACAACCCGACGCTAGATCCCGACATATATCATTCAGAATATGCTTTATATATTCCCCTTTTCAAGTTTTCTTGACATTTCTGGAACTCAATGTCATGAATAAATGACTAGATCCACATAAAGAATATTCCTATACCACAACATGAATAAAAGATATGAACATGATAAAAGACTATTTTACGACTGTAGTAAAAAGGAACGGAAAAAAATACTTAGTTGCATATGTAGTATGTATGCAAATCACCATCTCTTAATAATTTCTTTTTAATTCTTAAATTAATAATAATAATAATGTACACACACACACACACACACACACATATATATATATTGAAAAAATATCTCTAAACTTAAGGCATTTTTTAACTTGTAATGTGACATTTTGGGAGGGAAATTAATTTAATCCCTTTAAGCACTGTAGGCGTATATATCCGTCACTGTCAAATGGTGCCTTATGTGCTCCAGACGTACATATACGTCATTCCAAAATACGATTATTTTTCTTTGTCCCCTGCTATTAGTAAAACTATTCCGAAGTTTTTGAAATGCAATAAAATAACCTTGATATTGTGTTTGCGAAGGATTTATTTACTTCAGAGAAAAAAAATTGCTTATTTGTACTTTTTCTCACCCCCTCCAACACACCGCATACACGTGCTTATGTAAAAAAAGTGCAGCATTAGGGATAAAATCGTGTAACTGGTAGTAGGGAGTTATTGTTGTCGTTGGATGGATTAATGAGGGAACATGTTGCTATTTTAAAAATCACATTTACTGACTATCACAAACATAAAGTGACGAAGCTAACAACGAACTCAAAACAATACATAGATATAAGCAATACAAAAGACGTAGAGTTCCTCGCTTCTCCGGAGATCTTGTCTGTTTATAGTCATGATCAATCGGAAGCTATCAAAATCATATGGTTTCTGATAAAGGTTTTCTAATTGGTCCGCATCCGAAGACGATGTAAGATTTCATTCTGATTTAAAAATATCAGACCTTAAATGTTTTGAGAAATTTATTGGGGTTAGTTCCCGTTTGGCGGGTAAAATAAAAATTAATTATCACACGAATTCTTGGAGGGTTCGACACCATTATGAATTAAAATCCCTCGAGAGGAAATTTAAGTAAATTATTATTATTATTATATTGTATAGAATTCAGATTAATTTGTCGAGTTACTAATCCCAAATTAATAAATAATGGTTAGATTGTAGTTTATTCAGATTTTGCTGATACTTAAAGACGTTTCAATTCGTTTAATTTGCATTTGTTCTCGTTTTAAACCTACCCAGCTTAAAAATTTAACCGTGCAATTTTAACCCGAGCTTAAGAATTTTCTAATACGTCAGTGTTATTTTGACCACAAAAAATATCCAGAATTATACATTTCAAAGAAAAATGCGGAAATTTAAGCAATAAAAATATTATAAACTATTGTTTTCTTTGCATCACAATAGTATTGAAGGTATTAATAACGAAAGAGGAAGTGATCATGTAGGAATTCTGCACTTTACTTTTTGTAGCAAAATGGGCAGATTACACGTGTACCATTTAAAAAATTCATATAAAATGTTTATTACAAAATAATATCTCAACTACTTTCAGAAAAATTATGTTGAAGTTGACAGGAGGAACAAATACTGATTTTTCTTCCCCAAGAATTAAGAAAATAAGGAAAGTGTGTTGACGCTCATCTACGCTAAGATATATATAGCAATTATAAATATTTTTAAAAACGTTTGAGAAAAAAAAATAAAATTTTCTTCAAACTGAGTGGCAATTATTCGTAAATATTTAAAAATGTAATTTGCAGTTGTATTTCATATAATAAAAACATACAAATCGTAGGATTAAGGCTTAATTTTTGATAATACATGCATTTTAATAAAACTTTAAACATTTTGTGCGCTTACATAATTTTATAGCAAATTATTCATACTTTTACTTTTGTTCCTTTTGGCATACCACCAGATTTTAACAAAAACCATACATATTAACCAAATCCGAAATCGGATTGAATTTAATACGAAATATACAAAGTGCGTCTGAATTCCACATCATTATTTTGTTGGGAGTTAAATAATAGGAAAAGAGGCTATTTCACACAGCTAAACATCCGCGTATACGAACGTATAAAAGGGGGTAGAGAGATTTTAGTATGCGGAGCTCTCTGATTACAAAAAAGTGTATTCGTCTGCTATCACAAATCTTGTCACCTTACCTTACCACATACCTTACCCAAAAAGTTACTTATCTTAAATCAAAAGTCAATTACTCAATTCGCTACTGAAAAGTGACCAGTGACTATCAGAATAAGATTCAACCAGGCAGAGTCTTGAAACTGGACGTTCAAGTTTTAAGAGTATTGTCCAAATATCTCTGAAAGAACCGCACACCACCAATGGCTAACATCTGAGAATATTTTCAACAAGCATCCGATACTGTTGTTTCAATGAATGTCACTCATAAAAGTGCATTTAATTGATTATCATTGTCTTATAAAAACCTAAATCTTTTGATCACTATACATGGCTTTGGTAAATCCATCGACTCCGATTTCGAAATCTTGCAGAGCGGTCAAGAATTGACCAGAATCTGAGTTTTCGGGGTGGGGACCCTTTTTTTTTCTTGAGGATCCACCTTCTGGGCCTTTGACACCAGTGCCATGAAATTATATTCTTAGACGTCACTCGATGAGCAGTATCAAAAGGTGAAATTTGTTCGTTGAAATTCGTGTAAGCTTTGGATTTAGGGCCTTCTGTGCTTCCTCCGAGACTAAAATTTCAAAAATGCAATTTTTCCACGCAACTCGACGAGCTCTTCCGAAAAATGGATTGTTTTTGCGGAAATTCGTGAAAATTTTTGAGTTACGGGCCCCAGTTTGGAATCGGGACTCACCTCCTGGAGGGTGTCCCTTTGAATGTAGAGCCATGAAGTTATATTTGGTAATCCACCGACAGTGGATAGTAGAAAAATGTAAACTGGCTTTCTCTGATGAAGAATCTAGGTCCACCCGCTTCTGAATTAATGGTGGAATCTTAGTTTGGCATCTGCTCTTGGAACGACTCTTAGCGGAAAGTGCTGTGCTAACTATAAAGCTCGCTGGAGGTGGTGTTTTGTTGTAGAGTATCTTTTCTTAATATGTCCCGGAATCGACGTTGACAATTAATGGAACGCTCAATACTGAGACCTAATGTAACATTCTGTATGACCATGTCCTTCCTGAGTTGATGCAGTTTTACGGTACGGACAATTATCACTTCCACAGGACGACATTATCAGATGTCCTTTTACGAGGGCTATAATAACTATGTAAGAAAACAATGTGGCTCAGAAATTCAACTAGAAGAACCAGAGTCAAGACCTTAATATTTTTGAATCCCTTTGGAAGATTTAGAGCATGAACAGAAAGGGGTGATTTTACCATCTTAAATCGATGGGTGATATTACATTTTTTTTTTCTAGACGAAAGGGAAAAGACACTGACTACCGTCGTACAAAAGTTGGTTGGAACTATGATTCGATGGACTATATTGCTGTATCTGCTATTCGTAGAAACTCCACCAAACACTGATTATTATTAAAAATCCTTTTTCCCATGCTACCTGTGGTGTTCAATTACTTCTTAACAAGTAATGTAAAAAAAATTAAGTCAATTCCTACTTAGGTCAACAAAAAAAATTTTATATATATTTTAGTTGCTTTTTATTAAGTAATTACAATTAACATAAATTTGTATAAACATATGACAGAATCACAATATCAAGTGACAAAATAGAATGTGGTTTCCCTTGAAATATTTTTCATTTTTCTTTCTGTATATTGTGTTGTACTATTATTTTTGTTTGTTACTGTTTTTTTATTAGTTAAATTTAATTGCTCCAATAAATGGTATAGTTTTAGGACAATCCCAAAATTTTTTAGGTCATTCCTGGTGGGATTCGAACCCACGACCTTTGGATTAGAAGTCCAAAGCATTATCCATTGCACAACAGGGACTCAACGAATGACTTTCCTTTCTATATAAGCTGTTGGACAACTATTTTTAATCATTGCAATTTATTCATTTTTTTAAAAATTTAATTTATGAATTAATGTTTGAAAAACTTTATTAATATCAAATGTCATACACTACAAATTTAAAAAATATATATATGTTTGAAGTTGAATGGATGAATAGGAACGATTTTATTAACGATTTAAAATTTGCAGAATATATATATATATATATATATATATATATATATACCCTTGCATTCTTATGGGAAATAGTTTTTCCTATTTCCCTTACTGCCCATAAAATATGGTCGATGAATTCAGATTCCCTCGTAAAATACTAATAACTCAACAAGAATTATTTTTAAGAAGCTCTTTTCTTAATCAAAAGTGATCTGATTAGTTTCCCAAATAAAAATGTATACCGAAACCTTAAAATATTTATAACTAAGTAATATGTCCCATTAGAATCAGAAGTATCTAGTAAGATAAAGATAAAATAAAGCAAATTTGAAACAACGAAGACATTCGGGATAAATTTTAAAAAGAGTTTTACAAAGGCTACACATCACTACAAGTACAACAAAAAATATTTATTCCAGATTATAAATTTTTAAAAAGGAAATTCTAAAAAGAAAAAAAAGTCAAGAAATACTAAAAGGATGAGTAAAAATAAAAGCAAATAGCAGATAAAGAATACTGCAAAAGGATGTATGTACTTTAAATTTACATCAATTTCAAAAGTAATGCTCAGAAAATCATATTTAAAAATGAGAAATGTATTCAGAATTCAAACGGTAGCTTATATACGCTGCAAAACTTACGGATACTAGAACTTCTCTTTCAAAAAGCAGATTTTGTCCGATTCCCAGAGGATATGACCCGATGCTCTAGAATAGAAATTTCCAAAAAAAGTTTACGATTTTGATTTTGTAACATTTTCCTTCCAGATCTTTGTCGTATGTTTCTAAACCATAACTTAGCAATAAATGAAAATCCTTTTGGGACTTTTGAACAAATATTCGATATGCATTCACGAACTATAAAATGATCGTTTTCTTGGCTTAAATGTAGGAATATAATTTAACGAAAAATGAAATTGAGTGGTGTTACATTAAAATAACGTATTCGATACAGAAATCTCTGGAGTTGCGAAATATAAATCTTTAAAAAGTATTTATCCTGAGATACAGACGATACATTTTTCTCAACTTATGGGATAAAAGAATTTTAGTGTTTGCACAATATTTACAAAAACTGAATTTTTAAATTTCAACGATTATTTTACACATTTTCTCACTTTTATTCTAAAAGATATTAAAAGCGAGTAAGGGATCTACATAAATTGTTGTACGATCAATTTTATAATTCAAAAGATGAAGGCGGATACAATTTTGACTTTTATCCGTATATAAATATTGCTAATTATCTAATATTAAACATTTGCTAAAGTGAGAAAAACATCTCAAAGAAATAAGAATAATACCACAGCCAGAAAAATCAAATAAACTTTCATGAAATCTAAAAAATTCAAGAATGTCTCGAATCTTATTTAAATTTTCAGAAAACTATTATAACTTAAATCAACTTTGATACACGAAGGAAAACGTGATTACAGAAATTGACTATTATCTGGAAAAGATTCTGTTACTTTGAACGTGGTTATAAAATTCATTAGCACTGGCAGAAGAAGATATAGCTCTTTAATACTTATTCTTATATATATATATATATATATATTTATATTTATATAAAATAGCTTTAATACTTATTCTTGTAGAACATAATAATTATCGGTATATATGTATTGCTTAGAAAAGGAATAAAAATGCAGTAGAAAATCAATTCTGTTGCACAGAGCCTACGAATCCTGATTGTTTGAATATTAAAATGATGTATTCTGCAGTATTAAACTATGTAATTGGTATTGAATTACTCGTAAATCAAACTAAAAATGTGATATTTTTTGTTATATTAGATTGAAAATATATTCTGCCTGGCGAAAATTTAAATAACAGTAAAATTTAGTATGTTTATAGGCTGACTTTATTTCCAAATTGCATATAAAAACACATTTATTTAAGCCTCATAAGATATATTTCAATACTTTGAAAAAACATTTTATATTTTATTATTGTTCCTTTTCATGAATTAGTTTGAACATCCTTCCAAAAGAAACCGTATTATTATTTGAAAGTATGTTTATGTAAACAAAATAAAATGCGGCTGGAATTTTTCCTAAGCTACCCACGAGTGGGCTTAAGCCTTCTTAGAACACTGACTAATATCCTTAAAAGTTTATTAATAATTAAAATTTTAAATCACACATGCTGGTAACAACATTGACTGGAGTATTGAATCTAATTCCTAAAAATGCTTTTCTGAATTGGTAAGGATTTGCTTCGGTTACTCTTTTCCCACCTGATCAACACTAACATCGGACTAAGAGCCATGAATTTCTTCGTGGGCTACATTTTGACTATCGTTCGGCTGCAGCTTTTGAACACCCTGCAGTCAACAGTACTATTTAGGTCTAATCCATCTAATTTTGAGAGGGAAATCCCCTTTGATTGCTCCCGAAGAACCGATGGATTAGCTAGGTGTCATGCAAAATTTCACATTTACTTTATTTAATCTCGCAATTGTTTTGTACGACGATTGCGGCTGAGTGTTGCAGTGAATAAGAGCTGAATCATGTCGATAATTAAATAAGGAACATATAATTTTCAATTTGTCATGTATTTCATCAATTCTCGACATTATAACTGATATAATTGGTTTCGTTTCCACCAATGTTTTCAGATCATTATTTCTCGAAGATGTTTTGGGTCTTCCACGTGATTCAGTTTGTCAGGAAAAATCACCAAACTGAAATTATTCAAACCAACAGTGCACTTTTCATTCTTTAACAGTATTCTCCCCAAATGCCTGGTTGACAATATATGTAGCTTGTCGCGGCCCGATGCACGAGGGTGTAAGAGGTTTCAAGGAAGAAGCAGATATGATTCTGACATATATGTATATATATATATGTCAGGTTTGAAAAGATTAGCTTTAAAATTAAGAGAGTAACAAATAAAAATAGAGCGAACTTTTTATCATCGCGTAAGGATTTGTGGGTAAATAAGTCTATTTAAAGGTGGAGCGAGCGCTGACGAAGGAAAACGAGTACTGGAAAGACGTAGCTGGTGTACTCCTGGCCGGATTACCGTCTTTTGTTCTACTCTGTTGGGCGCTCAAGGGCCGCCATATTGGATATTTGATGATTCAAGTAGAATAAAGAAGCATTTTGTAGAGATGATGCCCTCCTTATTTAACCCGCAGGCCTGGGGCCTGTCATATATTTATAACTAATTTTATTTATAATATTTTACACTTAACAAAATGTAATGCTGTAACTTAACTATGGGTGAAATAAAAATCCTAACCGGTTATCGAATAACTAAAATTATCGAACTTCTTTATTTTGGTTGAATCTCCTTGTGTGATTCTTCACGAAGCCCGATAGTATGGACACAGCTCAAAAGTTTGGTTACTTTAACACTTCCCGGTGGATTATTAGTTAAATATTATTAAAAAGATGTCCGACCACCAGTTTCTGCTTACTGACTCTTGGAATTCAGTGTAACGATCAACGCTTAACCATTACTTCGCATACTCAACGAATGGCACTTAAGTAGTAGGGCAGACCGTGTCAAAAGACTATGTTAAACAATTGTTTGTTGTTTATTAATTTATTTTTAAGGATAGTAAAATTAATTTTACATGAACTCTTCGAGTTGTCCTTTGTAGTATTAAAATATATTACCATTTGATTTTTCAGATAAAAGAAGTAAAGGATAATTTTATTTTTTCATAACCTTAAAAAATCGCCATCTTGCCCCACTACTAGGGCAAAATGACAACACTGAAAAATTTTGAACATTTTTTTTTTTGAATATGTTACATGGTTTAACAAGTGATAACTGTTTTTATTTACATCTTACAAAGTATCAAACTAAGCGTAATGCATTATAACGTAATGTTGAAGTGTTTAATTGTTTCGCTAACAATAGTCACAAATAAAAATGCCATTTTCATAATTGGAACATTCCTCATGTTTGTTTGTTACTTATGACTTTGAGAGTATCCTCTAAGATGGCTGTCTTCAAGGAACTTTAAAATGTAATTTTCCACATATCTCCCTCTTTTTCTGGGAGTGGCAAATGCTTTCTTTAACCTTAATGGTGCTTGGGAAACAAAGCTCCCCCGTGACAGTTTTCGATCCAAAATATTTTCCATGGACAGGTAACATTTTTCCCCCTGAACAAATTACTGTTTTAATTACTTGCTATACGACTATATTTTGGCTTATGAATGCAATTGGACCAAATATAAAAAAATAAATAGGCATTCGTGATTTCTATCAATGGAAGTTGAAACTGATTAAGAAATGGAATAACCTGCTGATATAATGCACATTAATCATGATAGCGAAAGTAAACTTGAGAAGAGCTGAAGATTAAGCGTTTGTTGAAAGGAAAAATTTAAAATGCTACCTAAGGAACTCTCTCAAGAAAAATATGAAGCCATAAGTGTACCAGAAGATACACTTTGGCCTATGAAACAGACAACAAATAGAAAAAGTTCAACATGCTATTTGTCGATCATCAAAGAACAACAACAACTACAATAACTGAACTCAGTAGAGGAACATCCCATGAGAGGCAAGGCATATTGTACCTATCTCAGATTACGTGACAGGCGCCGGGATGCATGTGCGGATGTTTCGGTCAAGTGGTCATTTTGGCACGAAAACTGTAATAACTTGAGCAAAATATGAAAGTTTTGCCTGCAGATAACATTCTTGTAATAATAGCGAAAAATGTCTGTGATGTGTGTTTTTTATTGGAATCACGAACATTTGAAACTTGGCTCAGTTTGATTGACATTATTACTCAAATTATCTAACAACAATTGAAAAGTCCTTGAAAGAAGCAAGTTTACTTTTTCTTAGTTAAATT